CTATAAATGTTAGTATCCAGTATTTTGTGTAACTAGGAAACAATCCAGGCCTTTTTTAAAGCAATCCACTGAGCTGGCCAGAACCAACTCTTGAGACAGTCTATTCCACATTTTCACAGCTCTTACTGTGAAGAAACCTTTCCGTGTTTGGAGATTGAATTTCTTTTCCTCCAGACGTAAAAAAGTGCCCCCTTGTCCTCTGTGATATAGACTCCCTCAAGAGTTGGTTCTGGCCAGCTCAGTGGATTGCTTCAAAAAAGGCCTGGATTCTTTCCTAGATACACAGAATATAACTGGATACTAACATTTATAGGTAAAGTTGATCCAGGGAATATCTGATTGCCTCTCGGGGGATCAGGAAGGAATTTTTTCCCTGCAGGAGCAAATTGGATCATGCTTTGCTGGGTTTTTTTTGCCTTCCTCTGGATCAACTGTGGGTATAGTATTATAACTTTTTTTTTTTCTATGGTTGAACTGGATGGACTTTTGTCTTTTTTCAGCCAGACTAACTATGTAACTATGTGATGACCTCAGGGTGAATAATTCTACACCAAGTTCACTATATGAACCACTGATGTAGTTATACATGTTGATCATATCCCCCCTTAATCTCCTCTTCTCAAGAGAGAATAAATTCAGTTCCTCTAATCTTTCCTCATAGCTGATCTCCTCCATGCCTCTTATCAGTTTGGTTGCCCTTCTCTGTATTTTCTCCAGTTCCCTAATGTTCTTTTTGTGAATTGGTGCCCAAAACTGAACTGCATATTCCAGATGAGGTCTTACTAATGATTTGTACAGCAGCAAAATGATATCTCTCTCTCTGGAGTCTATACTTCTGGGCCCTTAATTTCACACCCAATAGCTATTAAAAACAGATGTGGAGTTAAAACTGAAATTTAGTGATGTTGCAGGGGGTCACTACTTAGGAAAACTATAATGCATTTTAGTTAATTTAATGTTGTCTTTATTTATCATCCTCTTAGCAGTAGTTCTGCATTCATGCTAAATACGGTGCCCACTATTGGAATTATCACTGAATATGCAGAAAGGATGATACTTGCAGTTGTTAGATATAAATATATCAAACAGTAAGCTATGTACACATCTGTGCATAATCCTCATTCTGAAAAGAGGGAACAACAACATTTAAAAAAATAACAAATAAAATTAAAATACAATTAAAAATAACATTTAAAAAAATGACAATAATAACTCAAAACATATATACACTGAATATATAGTAGTGCTTAGCTTTAAGCTGCCCCCTCCCTTCAAAACCAGGAAGAATGTGACTGTCTGAAGGGGGCTCAGTTGCACTGACTTTATAACAAGATAAGCTGCAAAATGTAAAAATGTTTTTATTTAATTATCAAGAGGTTTAGCTGGGAACTGGCTATATCTACAGGTAGAGTAGAAAAACACCTTTAAGGACAGAATGTGTTATCCAATTACACTCAGAATTCAGTTCCCCTAAATCACCATCCTAATTACCCAATGCAGAATGATAATCATTCTGTTTATAACAGCTAGTTTACAAGAGAAGTGACAGGAAATAAATTGAAAAGTTGAAGAGTGTGGCAGAAAATTGTTCACACCATGGCTGGCCACTTATTAGTGAGAGGCAGTTTGAAGATAAACATTAATTTGTCCTCATTGTCTAGACTGGCAGATGTCACTTTGCCCAGGGAGGACCTGAGCAGCAGAGAGTTTGCTCATGATGAAATGAGAATGCAGAAATGCAAGTGGACCACAGGGATTTCCATGGTCAGATACGGGCAGCACAGGGCAATATTTTCTGCTCAGTCCTTGTTGACTACCGGAGTGGCGCAGGAGAATTCTGTGTGTGCCATCAAATTGCTTTATCTTTTCCTTTATTGGCAGGTACTTATTAAGCTTGTAGGCAATAGCTGTTTGCACACATTTAGACTGCTAACAACTGTTAAATTGCTAATTGCTTCTCTTATACTTTCTACCCATTAAATTATGCGAGGGGAAAGAAAGGCATTTGTTGGGTGACTACGTAAATGTGTACAATTAAATATACATTGTATATTATTATTTATGAATGTACTAAATATAATTTACAGCAAATTAAAGCAAAATGAAATATTCTGATTGTTATAATATTATTGCAAGTAACACCAATGAGCTTAAAATTAATTAAAAACAGTGTTCTAATTTGCAATTTTATAGGAAACAAAATATCTATATGTCTATATATAATATTTATACACAGTACACATTTGAGGATATATATATATACACACACACACTATAGAATTCAATACTCATTTGCATTTCAAAGCTACTGTTCACTTTGCTCTCATTGGAAACAATTGCAAATGTGGCCAATACATAAGGCAATTGTCTAATTACAGAAAATAATAGAGGAATCTCTTTTGGCCCAAGTTAATAGCATCTCCAATGTCTTAACAGATGCCTTGGATTGCATTTATGCTATGCCAACAAATGGTGTTTATTTATATATGTTAGATAACATGGGTTAAAAAAGGTGTTTGTAAAAATTTATATATATATATATATATATATATATATTGCATATACAAATAAAATGAAGACACAAGAATGTTAAGGTAAATATAATACACAATTACAAAGGGTTGACTACATACAAAGGCTTATTTATGTAAAGAAGGTGACTCTATAGGTTCACAGTGTACAGTAGTCTCTGAATCCTGGGCATCAATGGAAGATGCATGTAACATAAAATGTGCATATGATGGTGTTGTCGGGGGTTATTGATGGTGAGGTTCTATAACAGCTGCTGTAATTAATCGAGTGAGAGGAGTTTTTTTTTGCAGGCTAGTGAAACTTTTCCCACATGGATGAACCCACGGTCAAGAGACGTTAGGCAACATTAACTGCCTGTGTATTTCTGCCGAAGCTCTGGAGGAAGCTGGCTGGGAGCTCAGGCTCTATTACTAAGAACGATGGGACACGAGACATAAGCATCTACCTTTCATCTTTGCTGAGATTTGGAGAGGGTTCAGACCACAGAGGCTTCTTAATTCTCACTAATTCATTTGCTTTCCTGATTCACTTGCCTTGGATAACCTAAGAATGATAATGAACCAACAAGGGGAGTGTGCCTGGCGCTCCGTCTTTGAATGTGCTCAGCATGGATCGAAAGCTTTCTGTGAATTTTCCAAGAGGAAAATAATCTTATTACTATTGGCAGTGGTTGCTTGTCACGAGGTTGGACAGTATTTTATTCCCATGTGTGAACCTTTCAAAATATCAGCAGCTATTTTTTTTTGCAGTTATTTTGTTTTTATTTTTTACACATATTTTGCTATTTTTATCATTTTATAGGGACCATTTCAGTTTTTGTATTTGATTCCATTTTTGCTTATTGCATTTATTTTATTACTGCTTAAATTAGTGACGTTTTTAATGCTTAGTTTTTTTCATTATTATATATTTCATGCCTTTCTTTGTAATTAATGCACTGCAAATATTTATCTGCTATACATTATTATGCATAGATTCTCTCAGCCCAGAGCCAGCTGCTAATAACCTGTTTATTCCCCAGCAGTAAATCAGACTGAAATCCCAGCCCAGCTGCAAAAGGTCATCAATAAAACATGACACATATAGATTAAATATAAATACATTCATTTTGACGGTCATTGTTTTTTCGGCACAGTAACAAATGAATATAGTAACGCTGGCCGTAACAAATTGGTTTGTTTGGCAGACTGCTCTTTGTATTTTTTGTCCCTCAGAAACACTTTGCATAGATTAAACAGTAATATTTTATTGAGCAGGCATTAAACAAATTCATATTCTGGAATACAGTTAAGTCAATTGCTAAAGGGAGTAGGTAGGCCTAAATGCCTATCATGTATTATGCACACAATGTGTGATCTGATGATGTCATTGCATGGCGCCCAGTGAAGTTATTGCATGAAATATATGATGACATACTTACCATTTAAATTGTTCAGAGTTTTTTTTTTTTTTTAAGTAGGGCTACTAGAGGACATAGGCCTAGTTGCAGTTATGACCACTATGCTCCTTTTTCTACATCAAATCATTAATGTATTAGTACTGTAAAGTCCATATTGGTCCTGGATTGGCACAATTCATTTAGTAAGAGATCAAAACGTTTGTCCACAATGTGCCTGGCACCAATTTATGAATTAATGTTAAATCTAAGGGGATATATTATACTATTTGAAAACACACAATTTACTCAACATTTTATGTTTTAGAGAGAGAAAACGTTCAGTTTCTTTCAGATCTTTATTGCTGACCCAGTGGTGTCCTAGATAGGGAGATTTCCTACCATTTTCCATACCGGTGGCAAAACAGGAAATATGGAGATTGCTGTAGCTGAGGGACAACAATAAAAGGGTTTATCATTCCCTACTCCACTAATAAAAGTGTTAATTGCTGTCTGTCTTCAGATTGCAGAGATTCTCTTTAATTCCTGTCTTGGTGATACAATAATGCTAACTATACACTAGTTGACAAATCATTTGAGTGCGTTTTCGAAAAAATGAATGCACTGTCATGAGAGTGAATGATATTGCCATCATGTAATGATCAAATTTCAAACGATAAATCATTCAGTGGACGCAAATAATCCGTTTTTTGTTTGTTTTTTGCTTCTAGATCACATATGCGCAGTACCAACAGTGCAATTTTTAATGGGTAAGAAACACATTACCCTTTCAATTTATAGTCTGTTTGGCAGAAGTTTTCCAAACTTTTCCTTAAATTTTTTGGCTCCAAAACATCACAACTGATTTTCGATTTGTGCCCCATAACAGGACGAAATATGAACGAAGTGTTCAAAGGCAGATTTTTGAACAATTTCTCTTCTAGTGTATAGGCGCCATAAGAATGAAGGGAAATCTTTATAATGAGAGCACAAATATCAATAAATATGTCAAAACAAACACTTGACTGTAAGTTACATTACTAAACCCCCTTTCATTAAAAAGTTTTGGATGGAATTCCACCTTAAAGTGTTACTAAACCCACAACAGTAAAATCAGCCTGTTATGCAGTAAAGCATGCTTGTTATACTCACTGTGGAACCTAAGGGGTTAATCCTATGCATTGTGTAAAAAGGCCATTTGACCCTGACTGCTCTGTTGCTCCTCTTGTTCAAGCATCCACCTCTTATCTCCTGGTAAGACAGACTGAACCATAGGCATTTTGCACATGCTCAGTTTGGTGTGTATTGCTAGAGAGGTTTGTTTTCTTCTTGGGAGAGTGCATGTGATCAGCACAGGGCCAATCAGCACTGGTCAGACAGAGGTCAGGGGTTTTGCTTCCTCATAGAGGAGAATGAAAACTTCTCCTACAAGCTTTAAACAGTGCTCAGCTGGACACTGCTAGAAGCCACAAGACTGCTCTAACTTCTGATAAGAAAAGGTATTTAGCAGTTTATATTTACTAAAATAATTGCATTTCCATGTCTTGTGTACTGTGGGAGACCAGATATAGTGGAAGCAGGGTCCTGGGTTTAGTAACACTTTAGCAGAACTTAGCACTGAGTAGACATGTGTGAATTATTTTGTTACGAATCGAAATTCAGATTACATTTTCGTTATTCAGAGATTTGGATGTATCTGAATCTCTGAGACACAATAGTAATGAATTTCAACAAAGCCGAAACAGATTACAACAAAAACAATCAGTTCATCTGTATTCATTCATTTGCAACTTCAGAGGTTTTTGTAAGATCAATAATGTGTGTCACACTCTGTATTATTATGATTGGTCAAAGTTGCAAGCAACTTGCATTGAAGTCACAAGCAAATCGCAGAAATAACATAACTTGTGAAAATATGAATCTATTCAGAACAATAAATATACAGAACAAATATGAATATCCAAAATAAATGCTGTAAACGAATCATTCTAACATAACAAATATGATGAAAAGAAATGGTTGACTTAACGAATGAATCCAAAACAAAAAAAATTTTCTCGTTGTGCACATCTCTAGAATTGAGTAATAGGAGAAATATGTAGGATGCCATTGCTAGCCTCATTCTGAAAATGCTGGTTACTTGTTTGTACTGCTGATCCAGTGACATCAATAGGAGTACAAAGAAGTTCTGATGTACTTCCTCTTCCCCAGGTGCATGCTTGTTTTGGGACATTGAATCAGAAAGTGCAAAGTCAGAAACGGATAGGCAACTAGCAATTCCAGGTCAGAAAGTATTGTATGTATAGTGAGGACACAAGAAGAATGGACGCTGCTCAAACCGACCCCATGGAGTCAATAACAAATGAGGAAAGAACAAAGAGAGGGTGCACAGGCCTAGTGCATTACCATAAAAAATGTTTAATAAGAAATAAAATAGGTGTTGTACTCACAAATGACAATAAAGTCAAGGCACATCTCTGAGGCAAGTCCTCGAAACGTGTCAGCCTATTGGATGTCTACACTCCCCATTACGGGCTGTTACTCAGCGCGGAGTTGACCCAGCTGTTCTTTTATGATGTGCCTTGACTTTATTGTTGTTTGTGAGTACAACACCTATTTTATTTCTTATTAAACATTTTTTTATGGTAATGCTCTAGGCCTGTGCGCCCTCTCTTTGTTCTTTCCTCATTCAGTATATTTGGATTCCCCCGGTCTGTTGAGGGCAGCAAGGTGTGCATGTTCCAGCACATTCTTAATGTGGTTGCAGCCTTCATCGAGTCCATCCCCAAGCGCAGGAGCATTTGTGTTTGCTGGTTCATTAGTCAATAACAAATGTCAATGTTGGCCTGGCGGGGCTCCTCCACATGGTTCGACCTCAAGAAGTGCTGCAAGTCTTTCCAATAATTGTATTTATAGTATTGCATTTCTTTCTTGGAAAGTTTCCTCTAATTGCAGACAGCCACTGTTAAGGTTGGATTTCATTTTAGGACTTTCATAAGCCCGATTTATAGCACCCTTGCCATGGCCACAGTTCTTTGTGATTTTGTACTTTCTAAAAATCTCATTGGAAACCTTCATTATAGTTTGCATCAATAATTAGTTTTATCTTTACATGCTTACTTAGGAATCAACAACATTTAGACAATTGAACAAGAAACAACCTGCCATCTTCTCTGAAGGTTAGCAGTCCTAGACCAGGGTCTATGTAGCTTGTCCCCTTATTTGGTCCTGCACCCATTATATTTAACTGAATATTTAGGGTAACATGTAAACAAGTAAATGTCAGAATTTATTCACTGCTTGTTAGGAAAATGCCTAAAGCCCATGGAGATGATAGCATTGCTTGAGGGCTTCAAAATCACTTACTGTATCAGCCTCGCAGGCCTATTCTCAGATTGTAGTATGATCTATCCACCTACATGGTACAGTTTTTTTATCCTGTATGTCAAAGACCTTTTCTGGCCCATTGTATAGACTGTAAACAAACAAACCATAACAAGCACAAAAAAATATCTTCTGAAATTATCAACAACGAACTGGAATCTAAAAAAGCTCATGAAACCTATTCTGTGTAAAGTACTGGAGATAATAAGGAACACTTGAGATGTGCACATTGGGTTTTATTTCGACAGCTCCTGTTACTATGTAAATTAACATACGACCAAACACTCCCACGTTGATGTCATGATTCCTTAATGGTTCTGTCACACTCGGGCTTTCTCCTTGTTAGTAGAAGACACCTCAGGGAATTGCAGGTCTCATTTGTTAAAGCCACAACACAGTTCTTAGACTATAATAATAGCCATTGAAGGAAACTGAAAAAACTATATACCAGAGTTCTCCAAATTCTAACTATAAGGTTATCAATTGTCTAATAAAACAGTCTGTTCAAGCAGGACAATATGTGGAAGTGGAATATTTCAGCTCACGCAGAACCTCTTGGGAGATGAAGCTATCAATCATCGTTATAGTTTTTGAACCGGAACCATGATTGACAGCTCTGGTACTCAAGGGGCTATAGAACAACTGCTAGCTTTACTGCACTATCCTCAGTGGTGAGCTAGTAGCCTTCTATGGTTGCCCAGTTGTTAAAAATTACACCTTCCCTTGAGTCCAACATTCCATTGTGAATAATAGTTTATTATTATTTTTTTTAAGATGCCAAAGGATTAAATGTGCGCACTGGGAATCTAATTACTAACAAAATATGTGTCCAACTGCTGTTGTAGGATAGTGTGAATTGTATTCATAAACATTTTAATACATAAATAAATATTTTAATTAGTAGAGGTTGATAGTAAAATAACACCCCTAATCTAAACAATAAAGTATATTCTTAAAGAAAGTGTATTTAATTAAAAGTCAGATATTAAAAATAGATCGCTCTATAGGGTAATCAAAGTTTAAAGTATGTTGGAACAGCTACATAGCTTCCACCACAGTGGTCCCATTTAAGACAAATTGCATCAGAAGTCCTTTAGCATCTTATCTCCATGCAATTCATAAATTATTTATGCTGCTAAATCATTTTAGCCATTGGCAAGCTTAAAAAAGGTCAGATGACCTAAAAGCATGAGCATGGAATGAGCTGGATAAAAAGTAAAATATCTAATTCAATATTTTTTAACCTGGTGATACCCATACATAGTACAGTTAGAATGGCATGTTAAGACATTTTTAAGGAAACGTTTCATGGGCAAAACATGAAGGCTGCCATTAATGAGCAGTCCTGAAATTCTAGCTGCCTGTTACAAGACTACTGATAAGAGGTTCTGACTTAGAATATCAAAGCCAGAGGGTCAGTATAACGACCAGTCAACTGGCATTTTAAAATGACGCCAACAATGGCAGTCTCTGTATTTCTTTTAATGAAAGCCCATGGGCATAGGATTACGTCCTCCTGATCCAGACCTTTCTAACAGATCAGGAGACAATTTAGGATCTATGGGACAGCCTGAAACAGGCTTCCCAGCAATATCTATTGCTAAGTTTGCACTAGACAAAGCTCTGAAATGCACTGGCAGATGTTGCAGAGGTGATCCTGAATGCCAATTTATTTATTTATTTTAGGTACTTATATAGCGCCGTCAATTTACACAGCACTTTACATATATATATTGTACATTCACATCAATCCCTAACCCTCAATGGGCCTACAATCTAAGGTCCCTAACTCACATTCATACTAAATCTAGGGGCAATTTTGACAGGAGCTAATTAAACTACCAGCATGTCTTTGGAGTGTGGGAGGAAACTGGAGTACCCAGAGGAAACCCACGCAGGCACAGGGACAACATGAAAACTCCAGGAAAGTGGTGCCATGGTTGGGATTCGAACCAATGACCCTAGTACTGCCAGGAGGAAGTGCTAACCATTTAGCCACCGTGGTAAGCTAATTAGGAAATTAACTCTTTAAGCTACCACCACCACCTTTTCACTGAGAAGGCAGAAACTCATAATCTTAGCAAGAACAAATATGATTTTATAATAAAGGTCTGTCACACACTGTCATCACAGACAGGTATATTCAGAGGATTATATTACAGTAGCACCCTTCAAGAGACAGGGATTCTTTTAGCTGGCATTAGCACAGTTAGACACAATTTCAACACTTTTCAAAATAGGGTTCAATAATGAAAATGTCGAAGAGGTGCAAAGAAAATATGTACAAAAAAGGGTTATAAAGAAACTATAAAGCAACAGAGAATTAAAAAGGAGTTCAATATAAAGAATACTTGCAAAATCCTTGGTTTTAGAGTCTAATTGGTCAAGCAAAAATGGTACAGTGGCTCTCTCAATTCCAGTTAGGTGTTCCTTGGTTGGTGTTAAACAAGAGATGTCAGAGGGTCCTGACACTTTTCTGTCATATCAAAGGGGTGTTGACAGAGACCATCTGACCAATTACCTAGTTTAAGGGGGGGGGTGGCGGGGAGGTCACCATGTTAATGACTGCATCATAGCCCTCCCTTACGCACAGTTTTATACTAATAATATCTTGCACTATGTACCGGTTGCATTCTGGAAACTGGTAGATTATTGTCCAGCATTATATTTTGTGTCCAGGGATACCAAACACAGAGTATAGTATTTAGGATGGGTCTGTCATCCAGAAGGGAGGAGATTGCTTTGTATGTGCTAACGTAGTCATGTATGAACTTGATTTGTTCAGTATAATATAATAATAATGTGTCTTAGTCCTGTTGGATTTCATGAATTGTGTGTGGATTTTGTTAAATTGTGAATTAGACAGATGTTCAGAATGGTCGCCCCTGATTGGCTGCTTTCTGTGTAGACGTTTTATGGTACGCTATGTATTCCTAGTGCTTTAATTGCCCTACACATCATGTGTGACAGAACGGATGGATTTTGTCATTATTTTACGATAGGTCAGAGGGAAGTGTTAATCTGTAGAGTTTTTTTATGGTCCATAGAAACAGACAACCTGCCAGGCCTCCGTTAGCTGTTTACAGATCTGACCAAGGCCTGTGTGCAAGTGTCTGCTGTCCCTAAATTGAGATAACAGG